TCTCATGTCATCTACTTTTGATGGAAGGCCAGGATTAATAAGTTCCAACTTATTTTTATCCATTATTGATTTGATATGGAATTAATCAAATTATTCCGTTTGGGTTCCTTGATCTCATCGATTACCATCTTTACGTTTATTTACCGGTTTCAGTTATCTAATGAAACGAAAGCGTAAATAAACCTAACATACGTCTAATGCATGGTGGGATGATCATGTCCTTGCCTATTCGATCCATTCGAGCCAAAATGGATCTATGCCTATGTACGTGATAAAACAAATAATAGAACTACTTCTATTACATTTATTCTATCTACCCGTACAAGCACAGGCCTTCGAGATTACAACTTGTAAAATTACCCACACATGCGTGGGCCTTTGTCATCGAACGGTCTCCACCTTTGATCTAATCTTTTAACGATACAAAATTTAAAATTTTACAAATCATAACTCAAGAGACTCGCAGGTCTCGATAAATTACATTCATTCAATCATATTGAAAAATGCAACCATTCAATCACATTAAATAAAAGACAAACATTCAATTATATTGAAAAGGCTCATGATCATCCCTTAATATGCTAAAACATTCATCACATGAATTAAAGCATAAAAATAATTTTATTTTAGTCACACGACTGGGTCACACGACTGGTCACACGACTCGTGTCATGCCACACGACTCGTGTCAAAAAATGTCACTCGACTCGTGTGAAAAACCCGAAAGCAATATCAAACCTTTTGATAAGTCACACGACTCGTGTGACTACTCACACGACTCGTGTGGACCTGCTTTCCATTGAAATTGATCATTTTGATGAACCACACGACTGGTGTGGATCCACACGACCCGTGTGACACCTCACACGACCCGTGTGGAAAAAATCGAATTTTTATTTTAATAATTAATATGTTTATCTCATAAACATTTAATTATTTTGTTTATCTCATAAACATTAACAAATCAAAATCTGTTTTTAAAGATGAAAACCGTGTCTCTGATACCACTGTTGGGTTCGCTAGTACCGTACGGGCTTTAAGCAGCGGAATTTAAAATTTTTTAAAGTAATTATTTATCGTATAAATACAACACCCGTACATACTAATTGCGAATTAACTGATCGTCATCTTTAAAACATGCATCACATACAAATTTTGATTTGTTATATAAAATAAATACAAATACAAAGTATTTACCGAATGTCTTGAACTCCTTCAACGACGATGTGGATTGTGGGAATCGGTTCCCGGTTTGATAACTTCAACGGATTGAGGCTACTCACTTTAGGAATCCAAGTGTCTTCCCTCTAAACGTATCCACCCTATGAAACCCGGTTCCGACTACCTTCCTTCGCTAGTAGGAATGACTTGGTTTTCTTGTATAGGAATATGTATGAATTTTATTTGGGAATTTTCAAGAACTCTTTCTTGATGTTTATGAAGAACTCTTCTTCTTTCTAACACTTAGAAATTTTAGGAATGAATTCACCTTAAATGCAAAACCATTTTGCATCTATTTATACTAAACATTTTAGCATAAAATAATCAACATTTAGTAATATTTAAATAAAATCAGATTTTATTTAAATAATATTTACTAACTATTGACTTTGAATATAATAAATAATGTTAAGTAGTTCAAACCACCTTTAACCACCATTTTATTATAATCATATTTATTATTTTAATCCTTAAATCATATTTAAAGATAATAGAATAATAAATCTTGAGAATCTTTTCAAGACTTTATTATTATATTCATTTTCCCAATTTTCATCCATAATATAATAATCATATTATTATTATTTTGGTTTGGAAATTTAAAATCCAATTTTAAATTCCAACATATTAATTTAGTAATTACCTTAATTACTAAAGTAATATCCAAAATATAATTAATCAATCTTATTGAATAATATATTCCTTTTAATTGACATCTAATCAAATTAGATTATGTCAATTAATTCTAACTCTTTAGAAATACAATTTTCACCTTTGTTCATAATAGGTGTGACCTTTTAGGTTCACCTTAATACTAGTAGTGGGTTTACAACTCTTTGTAATTTGAGTTAATCACATTAACTCTTATTCATGAATTAACCCTTTAATTCAAGAACCCACATATCATGGGAACACCTAGCAAGTAGCATGAATCTAGTATTAAGTGAATAGCGAGTAAACCTATTCCGATTACAACTCCATACATGTAAAATCCTTTCGACATCTAATTTCCCGATTAAGTCTTGGGTAGATTTTGTCGAAACCCAAATTGACTTAATACTATGATTCTATTTCAAAGTGTAGTAATCCATGTATGAATCTCCATTCATCTCTGTCTTGGCCAAGGACTTTGGATTAATAACTATGAAACACATAGGAAATTCACTTATCTTCATAAGTGTCGAATCCTTTATTGGCCACTAACAAACTTCCATACATATTAACATAATACCCCAACTTATCCCTTTAAACGATAGTGCTAGCTACCAAAAGGATAAATCAAAGTAGAATGTAATATGCACAAAGTTACCATTGTGCCTCAAGTCTTAGGATTAGTCATGTACTATTGTAACATGAAAATTCTTATTCGACTGAATAAATTCTTCATTAAGAATTTTCATACGGTCATGTTCAGTGAACTTGTTCTCTAACAAGCACCCACATAAATGTACTTACGTCTTACGCTAATGTTGATGGAATGCAACATTCTTGTCCAAAAAGCATACAAACTATGTGCAAGTCTTTTATGGATTATTCGATATCCCATCTCAAAACATCCATCGACTTGGAACTGTATTTAAGATCATGGCTTTCAAGGTATGTTCCATGATCACCATCTCTATGCGCAACCATACCTTATAACCATAAGTGATCTAGGGATTTTATCTTAAGTGCAATTATAAGATAAATGCTTTCTCTTAAGATAAAGAAATGCCTTATTCATAATATAATTCCAATAGACTGTATTTACAAGTAGAATACGTCCAATTAGATTGGAACGCCGGGTACCCTACTCTAACATCAGGTTCATCATGTCTTCATAAATTTCCAAAACATCATCATGTTTGAAAAATACTAAACAAGTTCATCAATAATGCGGAAGCATAAATCAATCATATCAAAGCAATGACCAGCCACTCGTCTGCAATCGCCAAGCCTGCCACCTACTCAACCTTAAATTGGGGGGGGAGGGGGGGGACATGGGACTGAGCACACCACTTGCTCACTACTATGGACATAAGTCAAGTATAATGGTAGATAGTATGGTCGCAGCATGAACATGAATCAATAAAATTGTCACATCTCCAATCAATCATATCATATAATACTCATGTGCACATCTATATAAGCCACTGAAGGTCGATACCGCACGCAACAATGGGAGTACATGCCAAGGATCGAAACCGCAACAACAACATGGCCTGTCATTAGGCTAAGGGAGACTGCTATCATTAGGCACCGTCGACTGTCGATACCGCATCTGACGACGGCTGACACCATATTGAAGGTCGATATCGCATCCAAAGATAGGTCACATGGTTCACACGCATACATAAATCATATTACCCAGCAATTCTAAACAATTCAAGGCATAGATATTTAATAAACCCACCTGGATAATCTGAACTGAAACTGAGAGTCGTTGCTTATGTGGAAACTCGAGGGCTTGACTCCTCAGAATCTACATAAAAATAAGCGATACTCGGATAAATAACTAATTCTTAACTCGGTAAACCAATTTACCAACTTGAAGGATTTCTTAGCTTAAGGTTCACGACTTATAAAACCTTTCTCTTTCTTAGACATTGGAACTCTCGACTCAGACTCTTCTCAAAATAATGTTAAGGCATTGGGATACCAAATATCCTCAGTATTTTACACAAAACAACAAATGTTTAAAACTTAGAAAAATCTCGTCTCTTATATCTCATTTACGAAAATAACAAGGCTCGAACAAAGGCGATTCAACTCGATTTTTTTTTTCAAACAACTTCAAAGCAATTATCGCGGCTATCTTATATTAAAAAAAATTATGAATTATCAGAGCCAAAACACAACATACCAACATAAGAGTCCAACATCAACACATATATCTCATAATTCACATCACATGAATTAAACTCAATTTCAATGTATCTCAAGTCAATCAACCTTATACATTCTTAAATCCTTCAACAAAATACATACAATTAAAGAGAAGGTAAAGCCGTATAACTTTTTTCCGAAATTTACAAGATGCTCGAAAGAGATCAAAATCAAGGCCTCGGTCGGGAATTCGGCCTCGGCAAAGCCCGATAAAGCTCTTGACAACTTGCCGCTGCTACTCTTCTCGCACGGGCCCGAAAGGGGTGCTGCTTATGGTAACTCGTGGTCCGGTTGACGAAATGACAACCCAACAGATGCATTCCGACTCCCGGCGATGGAAATACACTCGACTAACTCTGTCCGGCTTTTCGGGAATAGGTGCTCAGCACACGGAAAAGCTCGGCTCCCGTGTTGCTAGTCGGCTCCCCTTGTGGCTGTTCTCGACTCCCGAACGGCTGCTGATTACCCGAAAAAGAAACTCACGGCAGGAGGGCTGGGATTAACGACAATCGAAGGGCTGAGATGAACTCGGCAACAGAGGCCGTCGGATTTCTGCTGCTGCTTCTCGGAACCCGACTGTTGCTGCCGTTTCTGGCACGGCCCGGAAGAGTTGTTGTTCGTCGGGAAGAGAATGCCCCTGCCGGCAAGATGAAACAACCGCTGCTGCGATCTGTTCGTCGGAGAGGCTCACGAGCCGCACTTCTATGGCGATGAAAGCTCGCGGCGACCCGGTAGCTGATTGGACGGAGTTTGCTGCCCGCCGGACGGAGTCGAGCAACCGAGGACGATTGACGAACCTGCTGCTCGTCGTGTGCAGCCTGCTGCGGGCTGAGATGGTGGCTTTCGACGTGACAGGCCCGACCTCCATGGCTTCTCGACGATGGGACGGGTAGATGGGAAAAGGATGCACGTGTTCCTCTAGTCGGCGCGTTGCTGCTGTAGCGAAACCGATGGTTGCGTGCGCTTCACGAGCTCGAGATCGCCGGAGGAAAAGGGCTGGATTGAGGGCGATATTAAAAGGGTCAACTTTTGCTGATGAATGGAGATGTTTGATCGGCTTATTGGGGCGTGAATAGAATCTGAAATTCTGATGTTCCCATTCGCAAGGATGGGGAAGACGATGATTTGGGTTGTGGGATTTCTGGCTTTGGTCAATTGAGGTCTGCTTGACAATATGGGCAAGAGATCTCTACTAAGGGTTTGGGACGATTAAGCGGCGTGAAACTAAGTTCTGGAATTCTGTTGGAGAAATGATTGCACGCACAAGAGATATATATAGTATCACCGGGGAAAAAGAATTGATAAGGGTAAGATTAAAAATCAATCTCCTATTCTAATATGGACTAAGGCGTGCAAATGAGCTGGATTTAATCTCAATAAATCATACTCAATATTCATCGGATTTATTTGATTTTTAATCAATCTGTATATATATATATATATAATAAGAATTAACATTAATCACTTTTAGTAAACTAATTTTTCCTGCCACTTTCATTAATTACATGCTAAATATAGAAGATTAAGACAATTCGGGTAGCGTAATATCTTAGCATTAATTGTGAATCGATATGGCAACAATGTTTATTTAATTGGTTGGGATACATTTGCAGCTTTTTGTGCAGGAATAACAGCAATATATCTTAGCGTTCATTGTGAGCTGATATGGAAGCATTTCATTTATTTTTTTTGGGCGAAAATGATTCTTGCCCCGTCTAAATTCCCACCGTCTGGAATACTATCTGATGTGTCACCTACGTCACTTACATCTCTTAATATCATATTTTCATTATCTCTCTTAATTCCCCCAAACCGTCCCCATTCTTTACCGTATACTTCTCTCTGATCTCTCCATTTTCTGTGCTAATTCCCCCACCAATTTTAGGGTTTTCAAAGATTTCTCCAAATTGAGTTCTTTCTTCTTTTGATGCTGCAATAAAATTGGTTCCAAAATAAGGAATCACAAATCAAAGTGCTCGCGAACGCGGACGGAGGGCTCGCACGGCCGCGGCTGCTGGCGCGGCAGAGGAAGCGGGAAGCATCGCCGAAACTGGGGGGGACGGCGTAGGAACCGGCTGCGGGTGCATAGGGAGGACTGGTCGCCAAGAAAAAGGGTGCCATCGATGACAGGCGGCGCTCGCGAACGCAATGGCGGAGGAAGCAGGCGGTGACGCCGAGGCTAGGGGGACGGCGTACGAACCGGCTGTGGGGACAGAAGTAGGACTGGTAGCCAAGAAAAGGGGTGTCGTTGATGGCCTGCGGCAGGTTGCTGTGAGACGACATCGTGTTGGGTTTGGGAGATAGATTTTTTTCTTTCTTCTGGCAATTTGTTAGTTTATTTGATTATAGAGTGATCGATTTGTTGTTTGGGTTTGTTGTACCTTGTATTGTAGTGCATTTGGTGTCTGAATTTTGATTACAGAGTGGGTTGTGAACTTTGAACTTTGGTTATGAAATATTAAACTTGTGTTGGCTAAATGTGACTTGTTGGCTAAATGTGACTTGTTGGTAAATTTATATGACAAAATAAGTTGAGCTGTAATCACCTTGTGAATGATAGAATGAAATTATCATCATCGGGAAAATAACAAAGCTTGAAGACAGAGGCAGCACATTTAGTTACAACAATTGCAAATAGCAAAGCTTGCAGACAGAGAGGCAACACATTTAGTTACAACAAATAATTCCCCTTTCTTCAGTGGTTGTTTCTCTTGGCCAGGAAACGTTATGATATTAGATTAACAACATATGCTCCTCCATCTTTGACCATTATATTCTCAACTTAGGGATAATCCAAATCATACATGAATAATAAAGCCAACGAATCAGTTGCTCCATACAAACCAAAACTATTAAAGTTACTACTGCCAAACTCATCATGCGTGAATTTAATAAATTCTACAACTTTAATAAAACAAGCGAGATAATTTCTGGAAAAACTCAAGTCCTGCATTGTCACCGAGAACCCAGCAAACAAATCGAACAAACAAAAAGTTGCTTAAAATTGTAGTCAATGTCTTTAGAAAAATAAAACATGTAAAAATTTTCCTGAACCACACACGCTCGAACTTTTAAAAAGAACTCAAACTACTTAAATGAACCATGTAATGAGTTCTGATCTTCATTTAAATCAAACATGTGTCGGTTTTCCTGCAATGAAACAATCCAAGTAAATAGTAAAAATGGGATATATAAGAACTATTTTTATATCAATTAGATTAGATTAATATAAAAACATATATAGTTACCTGTGTCGAATTTGCTGCATGTATGCTATTATTCCTTATAGCATAACCTCCACCCAAGAGTGGATTAAGAAGATCCTAATAAAAAAAAAAAAATAAACCTTAACATATTAGCCTTACAAACTTGATATTTTCAAGTTTTCTCTATATATCATGTTAAATGTTAATGAAAGTTTACATTTTCTTGAAGTTGAATCGAACTACTTTCAGGATAAATGGGTGAAGCGGGTGGCCGTGGGATGTAGTACCCTCCAAAAGTCGAAACCGGAATAACCTATTCATTATACACAAAAAAAAAAAATGAATATATCATGCTTCAATGTTTTGTTAGATTTAAAAATTTACATAAGAAAATAAACGTTTTACCTTTTCTTGAAGTTGAGCTGAATGAGAATAAATGCATAGATCGGGTGGCCTTGGCATGTAATATCTTTCAAAACTCGGAACTTGATTAACCTGTTCGTATTACATAAGGAAAGAGCATGTTATATTTATCTTGGATTAATAATAAAGAATATAATATTCTAACTCAATTTACTATACCTCAAGATTATTGAATGTAGCTTTAAAAGCAGTTGGATCGCATATGTTGTCGGCTTCCAATGTTTTCATGGGCGCCTATCCATAAATATATCTAAACATGTAAATATATGTGCATTATATAATAGACATAAAAAAATATATTCATTTATACCTTTGTGCATTTCAAGTTCTTTGTTGCAGTCTCCTTAAGCTTCTTGTTTTGATTCCTTTTTTTAAGCTTTTGAACCACGACTTCCAATCTCAAAATTTTTCTTTTAGTAGCAGGACGCCCTTTCCCTCGAGTAACCACAAGACTCAAAACTGTATTTGCTCCACCTAACACTTTTCGTTGCTCAACATAATTTTGAGGTTGTGAAGAAAATGCTCGAGTTGTTTCCTTCTTATTTAATTCACCACTGGTAATTTTTACTTTAATTCTCGAATGCATTTCATCACCAAACTCATATTTTTCTTCATCATCCATAGCAATTACAGCAACCTCGTGGAATGCCGTGCATATTTTTTCACATCGTTGTATTTGTTGGCTCAAAGGATTATATCCAATTCTCACCAATGTATATCTTCGTTTTAGGTCCTTTCTCCATCGATGCAAAATATAACGAGGATGAACTTCATTTATTCTTCTTGCAATTAGCACAGACATGATATGTCTACAAAGAATTCCTCTAAACTCAAACAAACGGCAGACACATTTAACTTCATGAGTACATACATCAAAGTGTACAGTAAAAGTCACATCTTTTCTGATGTCGTCAACTTTTACATCTTCTTCAACATTGTACTCATATACAGAATTTTCAATCTTAACGAGAGAAGGTTGACAATAAAATTTGTCCCTCAACTCATATTGAAATTCTCTAAATTTCACATTTGTGTAAGCACTTGAAATTGCTTTTCAATATCATAATTTCTCAAGCAATGAAATCGAGAATTCCAAGACTCATAATCTGCCATATTCTCTTTCTCAACTTTTCTTTTCAAGGCTTGTTCATATAAAGCAACAAATTGCTTCAAAGTGGTTTTATGATTAACAAACCCTTTAAAAAAAGGCATTCATACTTTCACTCCTTTGTGTGGTCGACATACCTGCCTAGAACGAATGTTTCACATATGTAGGAACCCAACGTTCTCTATCAGTATATAGTCCCTGCAGCCATTCATTATCATGAAGATTATAGCCACCAATCATCATTGACCACCCACTGTCAAACTCTTCTTCAGTACGAGCATCATAAACAACTGTTTGCATGAAAGTATTGATATCTTCATATTCGGAATATCCACTCAACTTTTCTGAAAATTTTTTTCATTATATGCCATAAACACAATCTATGCCGAGTACTATTGCCGAAAATAATTTCAATAGCATTTTTCATGGCCTTGCATTGATCAGTGATTATGCCCAGCCCTACTTCGTCCGTCTGCCCAGAACAAGTTTCTAATTCGAGACTCCTCATCAATGTCCACGACTGAGAAGAAGTTTTTATCGACTTCTTGCATTTGAGAAAAATATTTGCAAACTGCTTCTGCAACTCCAACACCAAGTTTGCTTCTTCTTACTTTCTCGATATGGTTGCGACAATCTATCTCATTAAAGGTAACATTCTCATACCCATTAGCTTCTACAACAAGAGAATGATAGTTCTTACTCAATTCAATCCCTGCTTCATCATTTATCTCAAGCCTTCTTTTCACATGATCAGCTATCTTTCTGTTACATCGAAAATGACGTGCTTTTCCGGGGCTTAACAAATGGTCGTGATCAAGATGAACTGTTGTCACTCGAATATTCCCATCATCACACAATGAAAATCTTATCTTGGCTTTACAATCCGTTTTTGTTGAAGGTTTTGGGGCAAATGAATTCTTTCCAGTGGATTTTTTCTTCGGGTCATTTTTAACACATGCAAAAGTAAAGTATCTAACAACGTCGTCATCTCCTCGTTTTGAGCTTCTTTTCATCACACCAAACCCCTTCTGTATTCCATAATTAGAGTAGTATGAATATGCTTCTTCTTAAGAACTAAAAATCATTCCCAACTTTAGTTCTTCAATAATCTCATCCTCTTTCATTATCTGGAAAAATAAAACAAAAAAATATTAAAAGTTGCATAAATACTATAACAAAACCATTTAAAGATTCCCAACATAAATTGGACACACAAATATTAATTTTAAATGCAGATTAGTAGCCATAGTAACAAGAACAAAAGATTCAAAATTGTAAATTTTAGATTAATAACTGTAAAAAAGGGAAAAAGGCTAATATTAAAACACAAATTCATAACTATGCCTACAACTAGAGCCAAAGTATACATGTTTTTACATATTGCAAATCTCTAAAATTGTAATTATAATAAAAAAATAATAATAGAAAAAAGTAAATGATAAATTAATTAAAAAATAATCTAAATATAAAGCTATAAGCAGTACCTTGTTAATTGTTATGGCGGTTGAGTATGTAGAAAACAACAATACAGGCTGAGAGAGATGAAAAGGGTTTAAAGACTCTTAATATGATATAAATTAATTTATTAAAAGAGAATGGTTAAAGACTTTACATATGACTTATCTATTTTTTTGTACCAAATAATAAACCAACTCTGACTAAGCATACACGTCAGGGAGTTAGGGTGATGGAGTAGAAATTGGTGGGGCATGTAGTGGTACCTTTTTTTTGGGCTGCATTTCCCATTTTATGTGGAGGAATAACAGCAAAATATCTTAGCATTGATCATAATCCCTATAAATTTGCCTATTTCCCAATTACAGACGAGACGATTGATGGATTTCCACTTTTTTGTTGCTGCATTTCTTGATTTATGGAATCTGCCGAAAAAAGATGAAGTGGTATCAACTAATTAAATAATATAATAATAACTTTGCCAATTTAATGAGACTAGAAAATCAATAAGATCTTTTGCAAATAATTCGAAAAAGTTAAAAACTAAAGGTACATCAGCCATTCATTTTTATAAGCTGACAGATTTTATTCAAGCATTATAATTTAAAAGGAAAAAATATATATACTTTATTCAGGATTCTTGTTGACCACCAACTTGGTAATGTTTGGGTTATTCACAAAACAAGCTGAATCACGGACGAATATGTCATAATGACGTTGATCATAAAAAAAACCCATCGTACGCCGTTAAACAACACAAAGGATAGTCCCTTTGCAAACATCATGTGACCTCGGAACCACGCTTCTTTACCGACATGACGAACCGACAAAACCGACTTGACAAACAAACTTCGGCCATTACCGACTAACCAAGTTCCCTCCACCGACATGACAACAACCCTCAGATATAACCGAGCTCATCAATACCAAAGCAGGTGACGAGACACCTACTTGACGTCCTTACGTTTTGTGCCCAACGTCATGATGATCGTGGGCCCAACTGTCATAACCGCCCAATTAAAGCTACTTTTTGCGTAATCTCGAATTATTAGAGAATCTCGAACAACGTGTAACAAAAAAGTCACTATATATAGCTTGAAATTCCCTCAGTAGAGGGAGACTCGATTTTTGGGGATTCTGTTTTTTACTCTGTACAACTCCACTTCGGTTACAAAGACACCGACCACATACCGATTAATAAAAACCCTAAAATCAAGTAATTTCGTGTTAATTATGTTGTTACATATCCATACGACAACAGTTTGGCGCTAGAGGAAGGGGAGGGCCTCATAATTGTTTGAGGTTAATCTTCGACGTGTAGACGAAAACCACAACTTTGCCAACGTTATTTCCTTTTCTTACAACATGTCTCAATCGGGACAAGATCATCAAATAACCCGGGGAAGCGCAATCAATCCCAACCAGCCAATTTGATGAGTTAATAATCCCCCTGCGGTACCAGATCTAGCGGCGCTTCTTCAGAATCCAGAGTTTGCTAAAGGAATCACTGCTCTGTTAGCAAAAATTGTTCCCGGAACGTCAAAAGCTCCTACGGGACCATTCGTAAATCCATTTGTGCCCATCAGACCAGGCGTACAACCACCAACTCCAGGGAATAATAATAATCAAGCTGCATCACATGGTACTTCTCACCCACGAGATAACAATCCCCAAGGTCCACCGGCGGGAATAGTACCACCGCCGGTTAGAAATAATCTTCAGGAAGCGACGGCCGAAAGTCATCCAGGGCATGCTCGAAGAGCTGCTGCTCCTGTTCAACCGATACCCCAACAACCTGACAATCCGCCTTACTTGCATCATCAAATCGAGAAAAATCGTCTCAACCAATGTGAGAACTCGGAAACTGAGGTGCTGAGGCAAAGAATTACTGAACTTGAACTAGAAGCGTGACGTGCTACCCAAGTCCGACCACCACCAAATTTTCAGCCCTCGGAACTGGATCACATGTACTTAGAAGTTGAATCACCTTTAGCCCCCGAACTAACTATGGGTCCCGTACCCGATAAAGTGAATGTTCTGCAAATCGGATTATATGATGGGACCTCGGATCCCGACGCGCACCTCGGACATTACACTTCACGGATGGATCTTCATGGTGCAACCGACGCTTTACGTTGCCGAATGTTTTCTCTTAACCTGGGGCTTCGAGCACAGAAGTGGTACCATTCGTTACCCCCGCACTCAATCTGGAAATGGCAGCAGCTTAGGTCAGCATTTCGTTCGCATTTCATTGGGGAACAGGTTTGCCTCATTCCTAAGGAGTCTATTGCAATATTACTCAACGTAATGACGAAAGTGTGAAAGAATATTGTAGCGCCCCGTTTATTTATGGATTTTTTTTTTGGATTTATTTATTGTTATTGTCATTATTATTATTATTTTTATTATTATTGCTATTATTTTATATAAATGCCTAATTGTCAATTAAAATGCATAAATGTGTATTATTATTTTGTTTCAATGTTTGAATATCATTAAATTTTTAAATGCCTAATGTTAATATTATTATTATTATTTTATGTGTGTATTATATATATAAGTAATATCCAATTTTATTTTTGTTAAATTGTCGAGCGAACCGAGCCATTTTATTTTGACTAAATCGAACAGAGAAATCGAGCCGAGAGAACGGAGGCACTCGGCTCAATTTCTTAGAACCACAAGCTCAAACCGCCCGACCCGAACCCGCGGCCCCGAACCAGCTGAACCCAGTTTCTCTTGCCCCGACCAGGTCCGCCCCATGTGTGAGTGTGTGTGTCTTGAGGGTTAAGAAAGATTATTAAACACTAAGCTCGTTCTTTAAAACTGATCGCTCCCTCATTCTCTCAAGACACAACATCACGCAACCCTTCTCGAATCTGATTTTCTCTCCCTCTCCCTTACGTCAAAGCTCTCGCTCGATCTCTCTCTCTCTCTCTCTCTTTTTGTCTTGCAACCGATCACCTCTCATCACCTTCATCTCGCGATCATCATCGACCTCACCTTCTCACTATAATTTTCCCATCGCCATAATCATCATCGCGACATGATCTCCTCCCGCGCCGCGAGCAGATATTCCACCACGCCGCGACGCCAGCAGCGACGCCGCCATCACCACCGGCGAGCCCTCCTCTCACAACTCGCGATCAACAGCAACCGACGACGACCACCGAGTGCCGCTGCACCTCCGACGTCCACGACCAACAGCCAGCTGACGTCACTCCTCTTGCCGCGAGCTGTTCCAGGCCAACTCCTCAGCCGTGAACCGCCGCAGTGACCAGCAAGCTCCGTCGAGTTCATCCTCCATCGTGCAGCAACCTCCGACAGCAGCAACGCCGCGACCCGAACCCTCCTCCGCGAGACGAAGCATCGTCGTCGAGCGGTGCTGCGTCGTTCGTCGCGTATTAGCCGTCGTCTCCGTTCGTGTCCTTCGTCCCGTTTTTCCGAGATTTTCTCGAGAAAGGTACCTAGGCTCGAACCACGTCTCGTTTATATTTTATGATATATGTCTAACGTGATTTATTATGTTTAATCGAGTGCCTTGTTGATTTGGATATGAATATGTGAGTTTTGATGATAACTTAATTATGTATTGGTCTCTTCAGTTCATGCGAACTTGAACGAGATCATGTATACACGTATTAAGCCGCTGTGGGAATTGGAACAACGTGTCCTTGGTCTTAAGTGAAGGCCTCGGACAAATTCGAGTCTTGTTGAGTCGTGCATAAATTATTGATCTTGTAAATTGTTGTATTGGTGTTTAATTTGTTAAAAATAGTATGCTACTCAGATTGCCATGACATTTTAAGGGTTATGTCCACTGATGAATATGAGGCTTGTGTAAAAATTTCATAATTTTATTCAGCCTATAGCTAATTTAATTAACTATATTAATTGGGTAGAAATGTTTTTATTGTATAATAAATTGAGTTGTGAACCAAATCTGTTGAAATTCGAGTATGTTTTGTCTCTGGCATTTCTACTTGTTGTATAAAACTTTAAGAATTTTTGGACACAGTTCACTAGGGTAAATAATTTATTTTGTGATTCTGCCAAAAATTGTTTTAATTATGATAAATTGATCTGATGCCGAAAAATTCTGATTTTTAAATGAAGTGCTTATTCTGAGATTTGTTTCATGCTGTAGAAATATCGGAATTTTTGGAGCTCAGATTGGTTAGGTTTTCCTGAAACAATGAAATCTTCTGAATGTTGTTACAATTTTATTAATTCGCATGTGAAGTGTTTAAGGCTGAGATTTTCGCATGCTGCTACTCACATGCTGAGGTTCCTTGGATAAAAATTTCAAAGATTGAATCTTTCATTATCAGAGATTTTAAATTTGTGCTCGTTTTTGCTGAAAACATGCTCGAATTTTATAAAATCATGTGCTTTGAATTTGGGGATAAAACTTGGTTGTTTTTTAAAGAACTGGGAGGTGAATTTTGTGTTAAAATTTCAGAGTCTAATTCATAGGGAAACCTGACCAATTTGTTTATGTGATTATTGGTGGGTATTTTCAAAAATATGGTTTTTGTGTTAAAAACTGTAAATTGAC